TTTTCTTTTGACACCCAAAATAAGCACTTGGTCTTATTTTCGGAAAGGTCTTATTATTTTTGAGGTGTAGGAGATGACTAACATGGTCACCTCATGGCTACTGCCGTGTTGCAATATTTTTGGGGAGGGCTTATTTTAGCGTGTGCGCTCAAAAACACGATTGGGCTTATTATACGGAAAGGGCTTATTTTGAGGGAAATAGGGTAGGTAGTACAATATTTAAAATCATGGGAATATGATCAAATTTATCATATTAGTATGTGAATGATAAATAGCCTTTATCCCAAACAATTACTCACTTGAAGAAGAGATAGGATAGGTTTCTTTGTCATATAAGAAAGGATGGTAACGTATAATTCCTTCCACTATTCCATCTCCTTCAACACGAGCCTTGAACTCAAAGCTATCTGTTGCTGTATTTATATATAAACTCTGCATATCATCCTTGATTTCTCTAAGATTCACAATCTGAGGTGTCTTCCCCTTTTCAAATAGTGAAATCTAAACAGACAATGAGTGTTAGTTTGTCTATGAATTTCTTGACAAAAGGTATCATGAATAATAAAAAGCAAGGAATATTAAATTAAATGCTTTCATTTATTCTTTAAAACTTGAATTTTATTACCAATATTTGAAAGAACTCTTAGATAAATCATATAACTATGACATGTTATTAATGAACTGGATACAAAAAAGGCACTTTTTAAATCACGAGAGTACTACAGGTAGTGCTCAACTTATAACCACAATTGGGACTGTAACTTCTTTTAAGTGATTCGGCCATTAAGAGAGTAGCGCCCAATTTTATTGTTTTTGGCCAGCTGTTAAGGCAATCCAGGTTTTCCATTTACTTTGCTTGCTGGAAGCCCCTTGGAAAATATTATAAATAGTGATTACATGACCCCAAGACACTGCAACTGTTTTAAATACCTGCTAGTTGCCACTTTTTTCAGTGCCATAACTTTGAATGGTCATTAAATAAATGGTCATAAATCAAAAATTTTATATACAATGTCTTCTAACTCTCTTTTCTATCATGACCAGTAAAACATAGTTCATACTTTTTAAACTGCATGTATATGGCATCCATTAACCAAAATTCTCAGACCTGGTTACAATAAAAAGAAAATATATTCTAAACATTAATTATCCTAATAGGATTCTAAATCAATAGAGAAATTTTGGAGGGATATGTTGGTGGCTAGACTATGGAGGAAGAGGATGAAAATGCTCCATTCATCGCTTATACTGCTTAAGGTTATATAGAACAAGTAAAACAAGTATGATTTACTTCCAATAGCGAGAGATCCTACCTCAATAACCATATTATTGGAAACCATTTCTTCATTCATTTGCAAATTAGTCATGTTTCCATTTGGTCCATGGATATAGTAATGATATATGTGTCTGTAATCATAAAATTCATTAATCAAACTATAAAATAAATAAGCGCTGCAGGATTTTTTAATAGACCACTAAATACTTTAAAGATATAAAAAGAATACAACCAGAAGCCAGAAAGATTATATATAAATTCAAGTTGCCTGGCCGTTAATAAAAGTATTCCCACTCCGTAACATTTCAGCTAAAAGCAAAACAACAAAAATAGAATAAAACAAAAACCTTTAGTCTATTATTTAATATTATAAATACTATATCAGTGCTGGCAAACCAGAGTATGTGTGCATGCACGCTCCACAAACTGGAAGGGGAGATAACCAGCACACATGTGCGTGCCGGGAAGCTATGCTTCTGATTTCTGGCATATGCATGCGCACCGGCCACCAGGTCTTCCGGTTTATGCTGTGCATGCATATGCGATAATCAGCTGATTTTTGCACACGTCTGCTCCCCAGAAACCGGAAGACCAAAAGTCCAGTGCGCACATACACACCGGTGCACTGCTCCTCCAGTTTCCAATGTTCCCATGTGCACAAAAACCAGCTGACCAGAATGTGCCCTGGAAGAGCAAGGAGCGACAGTTTGTGTGACCGGAGAGATGGCTTTGTGTGCCAATTCCGGCACGCATGGCATAGGTTCATCATCATGCTACTATATAATGCAGTTTCTATGTTTAGAAGTACAGGAGAAAAAGTTCTAAGTATGATAAGATATTAGAATCATCAATCAATTTACTTGAAAGTTTAAACACGTAAGATACTTACTTTAACTCTCTTATACAATGGTGAAAATTATTTTTCAGGTATCGTACATGCTTAGGCTGCATTCCAGTAATGACAACAGCAGTAAAACTGTCTTTCTCTTTCTCTTCCAAAATAAGTTTGTGCAGAAATCGCTCATCAACATTAACAATGTGGGAAGAATCAGATGGCTATTCGATTTTTTAAAAAAAAAAATACATTAAATTAGACAAGGAATGGTACTGATTAGCTTTCACTCATTTTGAAATCAAGAAAATGAAAGTTATGAGAATGCACATTTTAAGTTTCAGCAAGCAGAATTCACATTTTACATTTCAAGATTGGCAATTCGTCTAGAGGCTTTATCTATGCAGTTGGCACATTAGGTTACGGTGGATTTTAGCTCAGCTCAGCAGTTAATAAAAGTTGAATTAGGTCACTCTGTATATGCTATAATCCTACAGGGATCCTTTCAGTAAAATACTTGGGTTTCCTAAATCCTAGCAGGTTGTAAATGTGAAAGGATTGTTTCAAAGGTGGCATTAATTCAATGATTAAAATACTATCTTACCTTTCTATTTCTTATATAGGTTCTGTATACAGGTTCTTTGTTTTTTTCTTTCTGTTCAAAATCTTCTTTTGAAAGGACAAGTTCATGAACATCTTGAGAATTTGCAGGTTTGCTTATCATCTAATAATAATTATATATTTTTTTTAAAAATGAAGTTATGTTGCAAGCAATTCTAGCAGTCAACACTATGATACAGGAAATTTATATCACCAAAACTGCACTGGATGAAGATTATGTACTTTCTCAAATATAACATTCAATGGAAAATAAACCTGGCTTCATAATTCTATGAAATATAAAAACATAGCAAGGGAAAGATTTATTACCCCATAACAGCAATGCAGTTCTCACACAACAAAGAACAACAAAGATGATTAGGGGACTGGA